GATAAGTCAGCCAAAAGTCCAAACATGTTCTCGTTACTGTTGTTTCTTTGTAGCGCAGCGCTAGCCTACTTACTGAAGGTGAATGCGTTCGTTTCCCGCGGATTCTCATTGAAGGCAGACGTATCGCATGTAAAACCAATACTAATTAGTCTAAATTCGAATTATTTGTACCGGTATCGTTAACGTCAATTCCTTCTTATTTTTCGAACTGAACCTGATATTTGGACAGAGAATATGCGCATGAAATTTTGATAACAATATGGTCAATAAAGACAGCCGAGACAGCTTTAAATGTAGGCCTATGTAGTAAAATCGGAAAATGTGAAGTTATAAAATCACAGCTAAGGGGTCGTTGTCTTTCGAGGCGTCCCGATTTGAATTCACAAAAATATGGTAACCCTATCCTAATACCATGTTTTATTTATACAAGATTCCCCACACTATATCTCCGCCATAACAAAACCGCTTGATCAGATGTTTGAAAGCTATGCACAACAACAGAATCTTGAAAAAGCCCAATTTACTGGTGCACATATTTGACCGAAAATATATTAATTGAAAGCGAAAGTTTTTCGGATTTTGTCTCCCTTATTGAATCCATTAGAACCGTTCGGTTTTGATTAACTCAATATGCTAGATAATGCCTCTGCTAGAAATGCGGAGCACTGGTCAAACTTGTGTGTGCATTGAAAAATATACACAAAAGGAAACTAAGTCATAACATAAAGCCGAGATAAAATATTGATTATGTGACAGAATGTGTTTGTGCGTTGAAACTGTGTTTGGAAAGACAAAGATTTGGCGTCGGTTATTTCAATCTTAGCCGACAGATTACTAAAATGCTTTGGTTTTATACATTTCGTATCACATTAGGGAAATTTGGAACGCCAAAAAATAAATAACAATACGCTCGTTGCGTTGATGAGCCTTGTTGGCTGTAATTGTGACAAAATTATACTACTTTGAGCTTTTAAAAAATAAAGATGCGGATTCTACTTGTATTCATGCAGGTACATCCTAAAACTCTCATTTGTAGTGCGATTGTTTTGAAATCATATTTTAAAAATATGTTAACTTAACTATAAATATTAAAGAAAACAAATTTTCCAAATCAAATAAACCCTCTTTGAGTTTAGTACAAAATATAGAACGCCGTTAACATTATAAAGAGGAAAATAGGGAATATATACTTGTAAAGAAGAAAAATATCTCTCCATTTTATACTTCCGCGGACATTTTTTTTTTGTATTTCTGTAATTTAGCCGATAGATTACTAAAATTCATTGCTTTTCTACATATCGTATCACATTAATGTAGTTTGAGCGCCAAAAAATAAGTAAAATTACGCTCGTTGCGTTAATGAGCCTTGTTGGCTGTAACTGTGACAAAATCATACCATATTGAGCTTTTGTGAAAAAATAAAAACGCAAATTCTATTTGCTTTCATGAAGGTACATCCTAAAACTCTCATTTGTAGTGCGATTGTTTTGAAATCATATTTTGAAAATATGTTAACTTAACTATAAATATCAAAAAAAAAAAAACGAATCGCCCACATCAAATAAACCCTCCTTGGGTTCAGTACAAAATATAAAACGCCAATAACATTATAAAGCGGAAAATATGGAATACCTGTAAAGAAGAAAAATGTCTGTCCATTTTCTACTTCTACGGACATTTTTTTCTGTAGTTCTTTGCATTTCATACTTTTTCATTTATTTTTTGTTGTCAAGACTTCATGATAATATTGATTTTACATTTTTTTGCCTCTTGGTTTAAAAAGACCATATAGTGTGAATGTTTACACGCATTTTCTACTTGAGTCTCTCGATTATCGTTTGTTCTTCTTTTTCCCCCTAATAAGAGGTCATCTATAAACTTGTTCTGGTATCACGATGCCATGAAAATATATTGTCATTGTAACTTACGGGTCGTCTTCTGATAGTCGCGTTTTTATTACTTTAACTTGGTTCAAATTTTAATGCTCGAATTAAATTGAGATAATTTTAAGTTGAAACAGGTCCAAATATTAACTGAAGACAGCTAAACTAACGCAATATGCTATGTTTACTTTGCAATAATGTCGTCTGCCTTTAATATTAATTTTTTAACGAATGTTCATATTACGATCGTGTATTATTTATCTGTTTTATTTTATCATTAATTGCGGTATATTGGCTTTTCATTCATTTCAATTTCGGTTTGGAATGGTTAAAATAGGTTTTCTACCTTCTACTTTCTACCTTAATACAGTCAGTGCTGGTCAAAACTAAATTAAAAGGCTTTCGGTAAAAGATATCGGGTATCGGTAATATCGGAAAATTGTTTGGTATCGGTATTCGTATCGATATATGTTGACTGATATTTCCAAGATAATTAACTCATTAATCTATTCCAGAATGTTTTAAAAAGTAGGTTGAAATACTGATATAAAAATTATTTTTTGCTTGGAATGATCGTGTTCGCGATATTATCCTCGTTAAGAATGTTATTAATTGCGAGTATTCATATCTTATATTCATGCGTTTATGTATCTATGTATGACGCTGTATTAATGCGAATATTACGACTCTAAATTCGTTTATCATAAGGTACCTAAGCTGACATGTCTAACGTCGTTAAAAGCATAGTCCTTATCATTCTGCATACCATATACCATTTATTTTTATATTAATCTTGTAACCCGTTTTCACCACATATGGTAGGTCACGCGAAGCACCATACTATGTAAGTGGATCTGACAGAAGGGGTTTCATTACATTTGCACCCACATACATTTGCACCCGTAATTTGAACCCACAACAATTACACCTTCATACTGTTGCACCTAGGAAAAATTTTTTACGCATATTTGAACCCATGCTAACCCTAACCCATGGATTTTAGCATCCGCATACAGATTGAACGCGCGGAAATACCGGTGCAAATGTATGGGTGCAAATGTACGGTCACCGGCAGAGGGTATTAACGTAATTGTTAACAAACCCCCTGTCTGTTGATACCCTTATTGATATTCATTTGAGCGTTGGAAGTTGAATCATATTTCAAATAACGATAACATATAAGTGTATTAATATAGCCTAACCTCAAATCTCACATCCCTTAGTACTGGTTTAACCATATGGTTTGTGTCCTAAATTTAAATTTCCAATAATATACTATAACTGCAAATAACCAGTATAAACCTTCATTGGGAGTGTTCCTAGAACCCATGCCTTCATGTCCTTAAGTTTTCAAATCTAGAAATATATTTCCTGTTTCTTTATAGCTTGTTGCAAGTATTAATGTGTTATTTTCTTATAGGCCTTCATTGATAGGGTTCCTAGAACCCATGCCTTCATGTCCATAAGTTTTCAAATCTAATGATATTGTTATGCCATTGAGAGTGAATAATTTGCCAGGGTTAAATGTTTTGATCGTTGCCGGATTTAAGTTAATTTGTATGACGCAGTTAAGTGACGTCATAATGGCGCACTGTGTCTTCGGCAGAAATGTGTCTATGACTTGGGGACATACGCAATCTTGCAACTTTACTATGTACCAGTCCTGAAAACGAATGTACTTCTCAATGTCTACAATGTCTAATCCCCAAAATAGCTAATCAGTTTCAATTACATTATTTTTTATGTTTAAAAATAGATATTTCATCAATATAACATGTTCTGCACACCCACCGAAATGGGACTAAGATTAAATATAAAGAATAAAACAGCAATGCACCCAACATAAAAGCCAACCAAGGTGAATTGGATTCGGACAGTGAATATCCCAAGCGCACGCCTTCCTATACTGTAGTATAAATTCAAATTGATACGCGCTAAGCTAGAATCCGAGATGCAACAACTCGAAAATTCTTCGCCGAGGTTATTTTGCCTTTGTGACGTCACAATAGCCCTTCGGTAACAATGATAATTATTATGACGAAACAATTGCACAAATGTGCATGTCATACTGAATCTCCATTTTTATGGGTTTCGGAATTCTTAAAACAAAATCTGAGTTAACAGACAGGGTGCGCAGCATTACATAAATACCTATTTTATAAAAAACTCAAAATCGCCAAGATTGACTTACGCAATTCGGTTACTAGCGTGACGTTATAATGAATGTATAATGTCTACAATCCCTGTGGCTAATTTAACTTATTGACAATTATTTGATGAAATATATATTTTTGGTTATTGGGAAGAAAAACAAGAGAGGACATGAATATTAGGGTAAATATAACGCATAATGCCTGTGGTACACAAACATTTTAAACCGCCCAAGTTTGGAATTTCTCAAGTCTCGCGCCCCACCTCAAAAAAAAAACTAGTTAACATTGTGCTACAAAAACACAGATAGTTAGGGCGGAAGTTTTTGTCAAGTAGCACGTTGCAAATACGTGGATGAAACGTAAATAATGAAATAAATTAAGGAAATAGGGCGGACAAGATTTAACGCTTTTTTTAAGTTTCATCGGCTTTCAATCAGCTTCACGTCCCCTTAAAATGTTTACGCCCCCATGTGAGGCCCCCCGTGAAAACCACTGCACTAGTAAATAATTGACTAGTCGATATTTATATGAGGAGATACAATATAAGGCACTGACAGATCATTCAAATTGTAATTTTCGTGGAAATCAGCAAAAAATTTTGGATAAAACGAAAAATTAATATTTAAATTTTTAATATACTTCTAGTATAAGTTTAGCTTCTCTGTGTCCCTGTTAATTACGACTCCAAAGATTGATAATGACATAGTTCGTACAACTATATCTCTTTTCTGTATTTCTGTCAAATAGCATTTTTTGTGAATTAAATAACTTGATAATGTCTTAGGTCAACGAAATTTAGTTCCACCTAAAGTTAGATAGACTCGGTATACACATAATCATGACATTAAATTTATTTTTCTATGTATTTTTAATATAAGTTTATCTTTGCTTTACCTCTGTCAAACAGCTATTTTGTGATTTATAACTCCAAAACTTGATAATGAAACTACATATTTATTTTCAGTTTTCTAAAACACTTCTTGAAAGAGTCATTGCATCAGACCGAATCGACATTGTTAATAGTCTGGTGCATCACGGAGTGAGATAGAAGCCTATATAGTCTAAAGAGTAAAGAGCAAGTATGTAATCTTATAAATCTTTCAATTCATATTTTGTCAGGTATAAACTGATATATCATGTTAAATCCCGCTATTCAGGAAGATCTGCAAATATTCGAATTATCCTCATAAGATGTCCAAAATATTTCTTCCAATTTTATTTGTATAATTTTGTATAAGTTATGTAATGCGGTGGCAGGGGCGTAGCCAGAGAATTTCAAAGGGTCTGATTTTTTTTCGCCGAGTTAGATCGAAACTGCTAGCGTGTCCGATCGAACGCTGGAATACGCGTGTTTTTAGCAGCCTTGGGAGTCTAAAAAGAGTTTCATGCTACGGAAAATTGCCATCTATGATACAGATTTTTTTTTTTACTATTTAAAAGAGGGGGGGGGGGGGTCGACCCGCGAAACCACCCCCTGGCCACTGTGCAGTGGTTAGTTCATGGGCAGGTGTGCAGTTTTAGCTGGTATGCAATAAATTTATCTGCTTTGTTAATATATCCAATTCCAATATATCCAATTCATATCTAATTTATCAAATTACATTTTCTGTCATTCATAAACCCAAAACTTGAAATAGTTCATATAGTTCACATAATGACATATTTCGAAAAATTATTGGTACATTCAAATTTTCACCCCCCAGCCGAAACTAGATCAAAATAATTAAATATTTTTCTGAAAATAATCACATTGAGCCACCACAACTTTTTGTTGAATTTAAATCTGTCATTAACTTAACTCTATCTACCCGCCCTCCATTTGAGCCAAATCTCATCGGAAAACTTGATTAGGACGCTTTGTACCAGACGCTTCCCGATATGCGTGTGCCTTTGGCTCATCCGTGTCGCGTTGAAAATGAGAGAAATTTTTCATTCATTTTTTTTTCAAAGTTTTGTTTTGGTACCGCTCTGATAAATACAAGCGAAATCGACTCGACAACAAAGTCTCTCACGAAAGAAAGAATTACGTCACCGTTCTCACAAGCCCACCCCTTGCTTTTGAAGCAAAGTAAATATTCAAGATACAAGGGGCGCATGTTTTCGCGAGAAATTTCGAGCGAGCGCATTTATTGTTTGTTTATTATTGTGCGGGTAATGTTTACTAGCTTATTTACGCGTTGAAAACGATTGCTCGCTAGCTCAAATTACTTTCTTTCAAGTAATAACATATTCCTCTGTATATTTCTTAGCTTTGAAATACTTACAGACATAAAACTCGGAGAATTGAAAATATGATATAGAGAAATGACGTGCTACCGTGGCCACGAACAATCGGACAAGCATATATCATGCTTGAAAACGACGCAAAAGTTTCTAATTGCTTTTGTTTTGATTTACTCTTTTGACTTAGTGCACGATGAGACGTATACGTAAAGGATATCAACTCTTACTCACCAATCATATTAGGCCATATTTTTATAAGCACTTCAGTGCTTTCCCGGCATAACAAATTAGTAGTTGTCCAGCTTGGGTTAGGGTTAGGGATTCATAAAAAAGCCCAATTTATTGGTGCAAATATTTGACTGAAAACATATTAATTGAAAGCGAAAGTTTTTTGGATTTGTCTCCCTTAGTAAATTCATTAGAACCGTTAAGTTTTAATGTCAGACACGACATAGTTTTGGTGGTAAAAAATGTAAATCAAACAGCAGGGGTGTACAAATTATAATACAGGGATAATAATACATACATTCATATAGTTTTTGATTGGTATCAAACTGCTGTGTTTGATTATTACTCGATCTGTTTATCCTCGGTTTGTGCGCTTGATATTCCAACGGTTGATGTTTCTGACTCCTTTTCAAAAGGTGCAGTCCGTCTGTCGGTTATCCAATGTAGCAAAGAAATGTGATTTCTTGTGATTGGTTGCTAAATCTGTTGAAGGCTGTAATGTTGTATATTTGACGCTTACACTGGATATTCATATTTTTGAGCGCATAGAAAACAGTCCCAAACAGGCTGGCAAGCCAGAAAATATCCAATTTAGACTGCACACATGCCGGGTCATATTAATTGGGCCCTCGCTTAATCGTTTGTTCTTCTATTTTAGCTGATCCTCTGCTAATAAGTGGACATTTAAAAACTTGTATGGGAATACCAAGGGCATGCCACTATAATGTCGTATTATCATACAGTTCTTCAAATAGCCGCGTTTTCATTACTTTAACTTGTTTCTAATTTCAATGTTGGATAGTGTTAGATTAATTTTAGGTTAAAACACGTCCAACTAACTGTTAACTGAAGGCGCTTATATTCACCCAATATGCTGGATAATGCCTCTGCACAAATGCGGAGCACTGGTTAAACTTGTGCGTGCACTGAAAAATATACACAAAAGGAAACTAATTCATAATTTAAAGCCGAGATAAAATTATGAGACACAATGTGTTTGGGCGCTAAACTGTGTTTGAAAAGACAAAGTTTTGGCGTTGGATAGTTTTAAATTTCGCCGACAGAAATGCTTTGCTTTTATTCATTTCGTATCACATTAATGAAATTTGAAGCGCCAAAAAATTAATAAAAATACACTCGTTGCGTAAATTAGCCTTGTTGGCTGTAATTGTGACAAAATTATACTACTTTGAGCATTTGAAAAAATGATAATGCGGATTCTACTTGCTTTCATGCAGGTACATCCTAAAATTCTCATTTGTATTGCGATTGTTTTGAAATCATATTTTACAAATATGTTAAACGTAACTATGAATATTAAAGAAAACAAATCTCCCAAATCAAATAAACCCTTTTGGGTTTGGTACAAAATATAGAACGCCGTTAACAATATAAAGAGGAAAATTTCGGGTTGGAGTGGTTAAAATGAGTGTTCTACCTTCTGCTTAAAACAAACATCAATGTCGGTATCGGGCATTGGTGATATCGTCAAAATATTTGATATCGGTATTCGTATTGATATCGGCTAAATGTAGACTGATATTTTCACGATAATTAACTTTTTGAAATTTGAAATTTGAAATTTTTTGAAATTATTTTTTGCTTTTCACGGTATTAGCCTCGTTAAATATGAGCAACGCTGTTTCCCAACCGCGCGAATAGAAACGGGAATAGGATTATGACATGATTTTAGCCATTCATCAGCCCAACTTATTTGGCTATTTTTGCAGCCCATTTTTATATTGACATTTTTAACATTACATTGAAATTATGAGGAAATATATCGAATTGGAATTTTTAGATTTGTAAAATACAAAATACGACGTTATAATGGCATAAAATTCTGAGCACGCAACTCGATGTATCAGTTAGATAGAGTGAGTAATCATTTATTTATTTTACCACCCTCAGTAGCCAAACCCGATGAGTTTTCTAACCGAACACCGATATTATTAGCGTCAGTGTGCAATGTATTTAAACCAAAAAACGTATCAGGATCTATGAAATATGTCTCTTTCAATCTGAAAAATTGTGTGGCATGAATAATGCTTGTAAACTGTTACTTCAACTAGTTTGGACTGTACACTTGAGATAATAATTACATAGCATGTAAATGTCGGCAATTTCTGCTTTAAAATATTAATATCGGCGTTTTATCGTTGTTGTCGGATCGGTATCGGCGACAAGTGGTATCGGTACATCTCTCTTGTTGGAATCTCTAGTATAATGTAATGGAAGTTAATGTTATGTTTAAAATAGACATCCACCCCATGCGTTATTGTATCAAATGATATGTTGTAGAACAATGTACTCTTTACCGCAAACATTAAAAACTCGTATGATATCGAATAGCATCCCTTAGTTATGCCACAATAGCATGTAATTGGTTACACATACTACTAGTAAGATTTATTTCCTCAGCTACAGACAAAGTTTAATTGTTTTATTCCGTTTATATGTTTGATCCGAGGTTATTTTGAAAGTTATCGGCCATTGTACTTTTGGTGAATGACCGTTCATAGACTACTCCCTTTAAGGCAATTTAATCTCCTGTTCGTGGGACGAAAATAAGCATGTTGACGTAAACATCTTGTATCGGTCTTGTCTTCTCATATTCTTGTTTGTTTATTATTATTTCGGTATTTCGGATCATTGCGAGTCGGCTATTTAAGAGTTAATGCTCGCATTAGAAGTTTGTCGTTTGAGTAGTGTTAATTTAATTGCCGTAATAAACGGATTGTTTGCTTGTTTTATATTTTGGTTAAATGGGTTCATTCATATTGCATAAATTATTAATGTTGCTATTGTTTGCATCTTTTGGAATTAAGTAAGTTGTCGACATAATTAGGTTGGACGTAAACTTTAGAAACCCTATACATCTACAATATGCGTTTCGACCTTTACAATAATCATTTTTATCACCACACTATTTGTCGTATTTCATCACATATTATTCGTCTCTCGTACGTACATCGTTCATGTAGATTGTATATTTCATTGCCAGTAATGGACTACAATCATATTCAAAGTTGTGGAGTTGTTAATATCGTGAAACTGGAAGGTTATAAGTCTAAGGGAGTTGATGACGCGCAGCGTCACCGCCCAACACGTTATAGGCGTCTTGTAGAGCCTCATCATACGTAATAAGTTTCTCATAATTTACTTCCTCTACTATAAAAAGGCATAATAACTAAATGTATATATATTTTTACAGGATTACTCAATTATGGAACTTGACGACTCTTTATGTTTTTCAAAGGAAAATGAAACTCAATTATTCAAATATGAAGTTAAGAGTTCTAATACAGATAACTAAGATGTGCTAGCCACCAAATGCATTGAGTCCACACACAAGACTTTGATATAGAAAAATTGACTGTTGTTTTGAAACTGTATCTCATTGTCATACGTACTTTGAGCTCGTATGCATGTGCACTGATTACCAATATGTGGTCGCAAACAAATGCACTGGGCAGTACACACGAATGTATTTATATCAAATAAGACTGTTGTTTAAAACTATACCAAAATGCCATACACAATGTAAAAGGATTATATGCGTAAGTTTAACATGGCTCGACCCGTGAAGAACTAACTATTTATGTAATTTGAATATTTGCAAACGGATTCTTGATTATATATTTATTAATGAATTGAATCATACCTCGGAAAACTAAAAACAATTGTTATTTGTATTTTCACACACTGTAATGCAATCCTTTATTTGATGTCCTGGTATGAAAAAATTAAAATATTTCTTTCGTTTAACGTTATACTATATTTTTATTAGTGTTATTGTATATTACTGATTTATTATTTATGTTATTGTTTATCATTGATATTGTACATTTTTTAATAAGCTCTTTTTGAAAATAGGTTGTTTCCATATTTGGCTATCTTATTTGTTATAATCATTATTTTCTATAATATTTTTAGATATTTTTTAACAGGAAAACAAGATATCATGAAAGCGACAAAGGAAAAGTATTGACAGGGATTGCCATGGCTTTTTTTAAATATTTGTTTCGTTATAGATAGATTTAGACCCATCCCCGCCTTTAGGGATAATGGGGATTTTATCAGGCTTAGATTTTGTTAATAATATCTTAGCTTCTCAGGCACAGAATTTTGAAGGCACTGAGGAAATTGAAAAAAGACGGAACCTGGGACAAATCTAAAATACCGGTAAATATGTTATTATTATTATTGAATATTTATTATTAAAGCTTTTTTTGGTAATATGCTGTATCCATATTTGCCTATCTTATTTGTCATAATCATTATTTTCTCTTCTGTTTTAGAGATATTTTCAACAGGAAACAAGATACTGTGACACCGACAAGAGAAGAAAAGTATTAACAGGGCTTACCATGACTTTTTTACTATTAACATTTTATTTGTTATAGATAGATTTAGACCCATTCCCGCCATTAGGAAAAATAGGGTTTTTATTAGGCTTAGATATTTTTAATGTTATTCTAGCTTCTCAGGCACAGAACTATGGAAGGACTGGAAAAATTAAGAAAAGACGGATACAAGGAAAATCTCATTTTTTCTATTTTTCATAATCATTATTTTCTCTTCTATTTTAGAGATATTTTCAACAGGAAACAGGGTATCGTGACACCGACAAAAGAAGAAAAGTATTAACAGGGCTTGCATGTTTTTTGTTTTTAATATTTTATTTGGTATAGATAGATTTAGACCCATTCCCGTCATTAGGAATAATAGAGTTTTTATTAGGCTTAGATATTTTTAATGTTATTCTAGCTTTTCAGGCAAAGAACTATGAAAGGACTGGAAAAATTAAGAAAAGACGGATACAAGGAAAATATACAAATTACATGTAAATATTTTTACGAATTTTATTAGGCTTAGATATTGTTAATATTATCTTAGCTTCTCAGTCACAGAATTTTGAAGGCACTGAAGAAATTGAAAAAAGACGGAACCTGATACATCTAAAATACCGGTAAATATGTTATTATTTTTATTGAATATTTATTATTAAAGCTTTTTTTGGTAATATGCTGTTTCCATATTTGCTAATCTTATTTGTGATAATCATTATTTTCTCTTCTATTTTAGAGATATTTTCAACAGGAAACAAGATATTGTGACACCGACAAAAGAAGAAAAGTTTAACAGGGCTTGCCATGTTTTTTTGTTTTTGTTTTTAATATTTTATTTGGTATAGATTTAGACCCATTCCCGCCATTAGGAAAAATAGGGTTTTTATTAGGCTTAGATATTTTTAATGTTATTCTAGCTATTCAGGCACAGAACTATGAAGGGACTGGAAAAATTAAGAAAGACGGATACAAGGAAAATCTACAAATGACATGTAAATATTTTTACGAATTTTATTAGGCTTAGATATTGTTAATATTATCTTAGCTTTTCAGGCACAGAATTTTGAAGGCACTGAAGAAATTGAAAAAAGACGGAACCAGAAACAAATCTAAAATAACGGTAAATATGTTATTAATATTATTGAATAATTATTAATAAAGCTTTTTTTGGTAATATGCTGTATCCATATTTGCCTATCTTATTTATCATAATCATTATTTTCAACAGGAAACAAGATATTGTGACTTCGACAAAAGCAGAAAAGTATTAACAGGGCTTGCCATGGATTTTTTACTATTAATATTTTATTTGTTATAGATAGAATTAGACCCATTCCCGCCATTAGGAAAAATAGAGTTTTTATTAGGCTTAGATATTGTTAATGTCATTCTAGCTTCCCAGGCACAGAACTATGAAGGGACTGGGAAAATTAAGAAAAGACGACTACAAGGAAAATCTACAAATTGCATGTAAATATTTTTACGAATTTTATTTGGCGTAGATATTTTTAATGTTATTCTAGATTTTCAGGCACAGAATTATGGAGGCACTGAAGAAATTGATATACAAAAGAAGGAAACTGATACAAGGAAAATACACAAATTGAATGTAAATATTTTTACGAATTTTATTAAGCTTGGATATTGTTAATAATATCTTAGCTTCTCAGGCACAGAATTTTGAAGGCACTGAAGAAATTGAAAAAAGACGGAACCAGAGACAAATCTAAAATACCGGTAAATATGTTATTAATATTATTGAATAGTTATTAATAAAGCTTTTTTTTGGTAATATGCTGTATCCATATTTGCCTATCTTATTTATCATTATCGTTATTTTCTCTTCAGCTTTAGAGATATTTTCAACAGGAAACAAGATATTGTGACACCGACAAGAGAAGAAAAGTATTAACAGGGTTACCATGGATTTTTTACTATTAACATTTTATTTGTTATAGATAGATTTAGACCCATTCCCGCCATTAGGAAAAATAGGGTTTTTGGCTTAGATATTTTTAAGGTTATTCTAGCTTCTCAGGCACAGCACTATGGAGGGGCTGGAAAAATTAGGAAAAGACGGATACAAGGAAAATCTACAAATTACATGTAAATATTTTTACGAATTTTATTAGGCTTAGATATTGTTTATATTATCTTAGCTTCTCAGTCACAGAATTTTGAAGGCACTGAAGAAATTGAAAAAAGACGGAACCTGATACAAATCTAAAATACCGGTAAATATGTTATTATTATTATTGAATATTTATTATTAAAGCAGCTTTTTTTGGTAATATGCTGTATCCATATTTGCTAATCTTATTTGTCATAATCATTATTTTCTCTTCTATTTTAGATATATTTTCAACAGGAAACAAGATATTGTGACATCGACAGAAGAAGAAAAGTATTAACAGAGCTTGCCATGGCTTTTTTACTATTAACATTTTATTTGTTATAAATAGATTTAGACCCATTCCCGCCATTAGGAAAAATAGGGTTTTTATTAGGCTTAGATATTTTTAATGTTATTCTAGCTATTCAGGCACAGAACTATGAAGGGACTGGAAAAATTAGGAAAAGACGGATACAAGGAAAATCTACAAATGACATGTAAATATTTTTACGAATTTTATTAGGCTTAGATATTGTTAATATTATCTTAGCTTCTCAGGCACAGAATTTTGAAGGCACTGAAGAAATTGAAAAAAGACGGAACCAGAAACAAATCTAAAATACCGGTAAATATGTTATTAATATTATTGAATAAATATTAATAAAGCTTTTTTTGGTAATATGCTGTATCCATATTTGCCTATCTTATTTATCATAATCATTATTTTGTCTTCTATTTTAGACATATTTTCAACAGGAAACAAGATATTGTGACTTCGACAAAAGCAGAAAAGTATTAACAGGGCTTGCCATGGATTTTTTACTATTAATATTTTATTTGTTATAGATAGATTTAGACCCATTCCCGCCATTAGGAAAAATAGAGTTTTTATTAGGCTTAGATATTGTTAATGTCATTCTAGCTTCCCAGGCACAGAACTATGAAGGGACTGGGAAAATTAAGAAAAGACGACTACAAGGAAAATCTACAAATTGCATGTAAATATTTTTACGAATTTTATTTGGCGTAGATATTTTTAATGTTATTCTAGATTTTCAGGCACAGAATTATGGAGGCACTGAAGAAATTGATATACAAAAGAAGAAAACTGATACAAGGAAAATACACAAATTGAATGTAAATATTTTTACGAATTTTATTAAGCTTAGATATTGTTAATAATATCTTAGCTTCTCAGGCACAGAATTTTGAAGGCACTGAAGAAATTGAAAAAGGACGGAACCAGAGACAAATCTAAAATACCGGTAAATATGTTATTAATATTATTGAATAGTTATTAATAAAGCTTTTTTTTGGTAATATGCTGTATCCATATTTGCCTATCTTATTTATCATTATCGTTATTTTCTCTTCAGCTTTAGAGATATTTTCAACAGGAAACAAGATATTGTGACACCGACAAGAGAAGAAAAGTATTAACAGGGTTACCATGGCTTTTTTACTATTAACATTTTATTTGTTATAGATAGATTTAGACCCATTCCCGCCATTAGGAAAAATAGGGTTTTTGACTTAGATATTTTTAAGGTCATTCTAGCTTCTCAGGCACAGCACTATGGAGGGACTGGAAAAATTAAGAAAAGACGGATACAAGGAAAATCTACAAATTACATGTAAATATTTTTACGAATTTTATTAGGCTTAGATATTGTTTATATTATCTTAGCTTCTCAGTCACAGAATTTTGAAGGCACTGAAGAAATTGAAAAAAGACGGAACCTGATACAAATCTAAAATACCGGTAAATATGTTATG